GTCACGTTTCTGTTCGTGTTTGCTGTTCGAGACAGAACTCTGTACCCTCAACCCCCGCATCTTGGTTAATGGGACACTGTCAACTATTTTTCCTTTAATACTCTAAAGTGCCTAGCACACTTTTGACGCTATATGAAAAAAAACAAAAACAAACCTTCGTAGAAGTTGCATTCATAATTTATTTTTTGTGTAGCGCTGCACTAGCCAGCATGGCTGTTTTTTGGCTTGCTCCTTTGTGCACAGTTGCCATTCGTAGGAATGGTCTCATCTCTGGGAAATTTGATTTTATTTTTTTCCTTAACTAGAGTCCCACAAATACCTTTTGGTGTCACGCTAAATTGGTCTCTTAAAAATGTATGGCTTATCCCTAGAACTTCGAAAAAAAAATAATAAATTGTCTTCGAACGACCAGAAGACTTCTTAACGACGTGTCAAAATACGGACCTGAAGTGGTTGAAAGTGTCCCGCCCCACCAGTCCGTGTCGTAGTGAGGTGTCCCCTAGCGTGTCCCAGGTCCTCTGTCTGTACGGGCGATACGCGGTGGTCTTGGGAACTGAGAAGAAATGCCTTACGCGTCTGTGGCTATTGCGAACAGATACATTTGAACTTTGCGATTCCAAAACAGCATATCTTCACTGGGGACTTACCGAGAGAGAAGTTGTGTACTTTGTCAGATGGCACAGCTGGGGGGTGAGGGGGAAAAAGGGAGTGATAGGCTTCCATCCCAAAGTGCAGGCGAACGGTCTGAACGCGTCCTTCCGTAGCTCCGTGCAGCAGCCGGGGCATCTGCGTCGCTGCCGCGTGTCGCAGCAGTGACCGGCGGTGAGGGAGTCCCCCCCGGCTTCTGAGAGGATTCCCTGGGCGATCGTCTATTAAATACATATCAGAGCCGTAATTTTAATTCCCTCGCTGAACGCGGTCCCAGTTGGTGAATCTTTAAAATGGCTTAATCAGACTAGGCTTGCTCAGAGATCAAAGCGATTTGGATTTGCTGTCAAACTTGCAGGTTCCGAGGTGATGCGGTGCAACCGTTTCTAATTGCAAACAAATTTGCAGGACACCAGAGTAAACCAGCCCGAGACTTTTTATTTTGATTTGAAACTCTTAGCCATAAAGCAGAGCACGTGGATGGCTCTTCTTGGCTTTCGATGGCAGTATGCAATTTGTATTGTACGCGTCTTTTAATATATATGTATATATCTATGAACTCAGTCTGTCCAAAGTATGTTATACTTGTTTTTAGATTATGGTGCAGCTGACTATGTTGATATATTATTTATTGAGTGCTGAATCACCATCTTCTTGGTGAGAAATCTTGCATATTATACAGGAGTGCAATGTATATTCCTTTAGATTGCTGAGGCTTGATTGCTGTGATGACAAAGAAAAAAAAAAAAACTAATACCCTGAGATGTATTTATGAATGGCCCCGACACACAGAGAGAGGAGTCAGTACTTTATGGAAATAATGTAGCGCTTGCCTGGGGCAAGTAAATGAAAGCCGCAGGCAGGTGATGACGTGGTTTGCTGTTTTGGCAAACTGCTGGAAAGAGAGACTCCCTTTGCCGTAAGGAATATTGCATTTACCTAACGGATCATTGCTGTCGCTGCAGTGTTTCTCTTGAGGCAGATAGGAAAGGGCCTGAGCAAGTCAAGTTTGAATTACCCATTGGGGAGTAAACAACTGCCAAATGCTTAGATTTCTGACAAACACTTAGGTCAGGGTTTAAATTGCGCCGTCTGACGAATCAGTGTTAGGGAAAGCCCTGTTGTTCCCGAGCGACGCTGTTAACGCTGTGCCCCTCCGCGCGTGACGAGTAGCCAAAGCTTTAGCGAGCCAGCTCAGACAGAGCCGCACCGAGTCCGGGAGAGCAGCGTCCTCGGCGGGCGAGTGACGCCAACTCGAACCATCAGGGAATCGCGACGCGCGGCCGGCTCCTCCGCTGTGCGAGGAACTGGTCTCCGCTGCCGCGACTGCCTTTGAGA